AACAGAGGTTAATCTCAGTCCTCTGCTTTAACCAATCAGTTATCCTACAATATGTAAACTTCTTTTCTTCCCTTCCTTTTAGGATTAGGAACCAAATGTTATTTTTGAAACTATGATCATGACATTTTTAAGCATTACAGAACAAAAAAGAAGTTCATTTCTGATGACTTCACAGAATGAATGTATCACTTCATATTGCTGAGCAGACCCCTCAGAATCAAGCCTGCTCTTTCAGAACCCTTGCAAAAACAATTCAAAGCATTTCCATGTCCTTTATCATAATGATTTTTCATATCTAACACACTAAAGATGACCACAGGGAAACTCTTTTTTTTTTTTTTTTTTAACAGTATAGGAAGATTTATATAACAAATCCCCTTCATCTTCCACACAACATGTACCCAACTTCTTCCTTCTCCCAAGGATCTCAAAACACTATGCAAACAGTCTGACCTTTTGCAAGAGTTCTGTTGAGTAGAATCTATCTTCCATTTTGTGAATTCCTACTTTGACAAGGAATCTGCTACTCTCCACACTTCCTTCCAGTCAAGACTAGATATGTTTATTAAGTCATACGTCCTAAAATGAAAGAACACAGAAGAATTCTATTACGAAAATTACATAAAGCAACTGTTTAAATGAACAGTTTTAACCATCCTCAATGAATGGTGTTCACTAAACAGTGAATACAATTAATGTTGAAATCCTTTTCCTTTCTCAACGTGGATGAGATAGACTAAATTTATCTATTACTGGAACTAACAGGAAAAAGAAACTCTTAAGTATTTTCTCATCTCCATATCACCAAATGTACTTTCCACCAGCAATACTGTACAGTGAGCAGGTGTCCTAAAAAGACAATGTTAACATTTTCAGAGAGTCTAACTTGCATACTTGCCTAAACTCTTTAAGCCTCATACAATTGATTTCCTGGTTTATTAATATTTATACAGCACCTCTGATTTGAGCTTCAGAAACACAAATGAAACAAGCACCATGGCAGCCTCTGGCAGGGCAGGAGGGTAATGCCACCTTTGTTACAGAACTGAAATCGATTTGTTGAAGGTCACTCAGGAAACTTCTGCCAGAGCCAAGAGTAAAACTCAGACTAGCATTTTTACCCATAACCCTGTCCTCCTCTAAATAGTTCAGTCTAATCTAGCTGAAATATTTTATTCTCATTTTGAACATTACCATTATTTCTACCTCCATTCACAATACAGATGCTGTTTTCACCTTCTTGGTATCATTCTAACCATTTTGTTTTATGTTTAGTATGTTTAAGTGGTTGGTTCTGACCTAGTTTTAAGTCTTATTCTCTTCTCTCATCCTACTGTTCAATGAAAAAAAAGCACAATTAAATAATACCCAAAAGAAATCAATCAAATAATACAAAATCTGTAGACTAAGGTTTATTTCTCCAGAAGAAATATTACCCTGCTTCCTGAGACAGTACTGCTGGCAGGCTTTGTATTTTTACGTCAAAAATAATTTTACTAGCTAAGTATTTTAAATCGCAAAGGGAACCAGATGAACTAATATAGTATGAAAGAATAACTAATGATTTCACTGCTCATTCCTTCTAACTTGCATTGTTCACTACAGCTACTTATTTAGCTCTGTTTAGTTGCTGATTTAACGATTTCTTTGCAGTCCATTTCAGGTTCACTCAAGCTTGGATTGTTGTAGATAACACCTCATTTACATTGTAAATAGTTCTATCCTGACATGTCTTGCAATTCCACATGTTAATGGGCTTCCTTTAAGCAACTGGAACATAGCATGGCATGGGCTCTGAAGTGCCTGGTTCTTTAAAGTGAAAATTGGTAGTTGAGATTGAGATTGTGTGTTATGTTTTTGTTTTTTGGTTTTGGGGTTTTTTTAAAAAAGAAAAAATCCCAGGACAAACATTTCATTATATATACTAAAACTGGAAGTCCATTTATTTGATGGCAATATAGAACTTACAATACATTCAGAAAGTCCTTATAATCTTCAGAAAAGCAGGGTCTTGTAGGAAATGAAAAAGCATAAACAAATGGATTGTGCAAAATGATGAGATCTGCGAGTGTCATGTCCTAAAGTCAAATCTGTCATTGTAGAATGAGGACAATATTTACCCACAGCTTTCACTGATATCACCATTTTGAATGAATGTTCTTTGCTATTGTCTAAAGTTAAAAGGCAATTTATTAGAATACTGGTGGTGGCTTAAGAGCAGAAGCTTCACAGTATCTTAACTACAGCTTTATTTTATTCATAATATTTACTCTAATTATGACACAATTAATAATATTTACTCTAATTATTATATAATTAATAATATTTACTCTGATTATGGGATAATCTGATCTAATTAGCTCACTGTAGATAACATACGAGGCAGAAAGCAAGAAAAAGCAGAATGTAGAAAGAGAGGTCTCAGTCCTGCAGACTATCCCACATGAATGTATCACAAAGTCCAGAGGCCAAAACGTCACCCTGAGGTTAACAGCTGCCTATTCAAACACAAGGATTTACTCACACCACATGGAGCACAAGGTCAGAGCCACCATTCAGATAGACAACATTCTATAAGCTCTCAGGAGAAAGTGGCTAAACACGTGAAGTTTCCATCCTTGGAACCAATACTGACACTGAGCAGGAAGTTCAACTGGGCAAGCTTTATCATTTCTTTCCAATCCCAACTACTCTGCAGCTCTACAATATACTGTTCAAACACAATCTGTCTGATCAGAAGGCTGATATCAACTGTCATAATCTACTACAATATTCCTCAAAGATAAACCACTTTGTGTTTGCAGACCTCAGGGAAAATTCAGGACTCTTTTCTACTTTCAAAGTGATTAATTACTTGGGAGAACTTTCTAAAAATCTTCCTCAAGTAGGTGGAATTATTATGCATAAATCCAGAAGGTATATGCACAGCTACAGAATTCTTGTATTAGTATTTAGGGATACTAAGTGATTTTTCTGCTTCTGAGCTAGAATACTCCTACTTCAGTGACTATACCACTGATTTTATGTCTGCATGGCATTTTAAAGCGATGCTTCAAGACTCCCTCAAACACTTTTCTGCTCATACAGACAGGGAAATCAGCTATGATTTAAGAACGCCCTCCAAACCAGGCACTCCACATGTCTACCCAGATGCAGCAGCTCTGCACATCCAGGTTGCACAGCACAAGCTCAACACCTGAGATTGCTATTTAAGCCACAGAAGTTCACCAGCAAGAAATAATTTCTAGAAAAAAAAGAAAAAAGATTTAATGCCCACAGATTTTTAGAATCTGCTCAATTCTCACTTTTGCCAGCCATCAGCAAAATAAAAACGCAGCACACCGAGTGTATTTCTGTCACGGATTTGCACAACAGAAACTTGTGTGTTTTAAGTAGTTTTGACATCGAACCTACTTTTGGAGTTCTTTCTAACATTCCCTGACTGACTCTCACTTCTGCAAAAGGGAAAATCCCCCGAAGCAGGCTGTGACAGTCCAGCTCCTGGTTGTCTCCCTGCTGCCGCTCCCTCGGGCAGCTGGCGGTGGATGCTGGATGCTGGATGCTCAGCTCCGGAGCAATTCCGGCGCAGTCAGCCAGCACTGAGTGCTGTTTGCCCAACCCCAAAACCGCCCCAGCCCCCACAGGAGGCTCAGCACACATGGGTCACCCCGTTATGTGTGCCAGGGGCACCAGAAGGTGGGACAGCCAGGCCCAGGGCCCTGGAACGCTGCGGGGACACGACTCTGCTGTGCCATTCCAAGGTGTCTCCATCTCAGCTTGTTCAGCTGCAAGGCCAGAAACTCCCATCCCACCAAACACCCGAGACCATTCGGCTCTTTAGCCACACGGACTCGCTCAAAAACCCCAGATCTCTGCAGAGCTCAGGCCCCACGGGTGACTGCAGACAGCAGGTTTCACAGCCCCTCAGGCTGACAGCCAAGCCCGGGCCCAGCGGGGCTGGGGAAGGGAAAAGCAGCACCTTGGGGGCACACAAAGGGACAGGAGACGGCAAAATCCACCTGACCGACCTGCACCCTGACCAGCGCCCACCCTGACCAACACCCACCCTGACCAGTGCCCACCCTGACCAACACCCACCCTGACCAACACCCTCCCTGACCAACACCCACCCTGACCAACACCCACCCTGACCAGTGCCCACCCTGACCAACACCCTCCCTGACCAACACCCTCCCTGACCAACACCCACCCTGACCAACACCCACCCTGACCAACACACACCCCCGCAGCCACCAC